AGCCGCCCCGAGCCCTCCCCCGGCGCCCTGAGCCCTCCGGAACAGGTCGGCCACGAACTCCTTGGCCTTGGCCACTGCCGGGGAGGGGGGCGCAGGGGGGAGGTCTGGGGTTTGAGGGGGTCCCTGGGGGGGCTGCGCGGCCGGGGGGGCCCCCCCAGCCCCCTCCAGCTCCTCGGGGAGTTGCGAGGGGGCGTTTTCCCCTCTCCGGTTGGGGCCTGGAACGTTCCGGCGCTCGTAGAGGATCTGCTGGGAGCTGCTGTCACCTGTGGGGGGTGCAGGGGTCAGGGGGGGCCTGGGGGGCCCCGGGAGATTCGGAGGGGTCCCACAGGGGGTCCCACGGGGGTTTGAGGGGGCCCAGAAGTTCCCAAGGAGTTTGGAGGGCTCTGGGAACTGCTGATGGGTTCAGGCAGTGTGGGGGGGGCTCTGAGGGTTCCTGGGGGGGTCAGGGGGTGTCCTGGGGGTACCCGCGGGGTGCACGGCGATGGCGCAGGCCACGAGGGAGAAGCTGGTGTTGAGCAGCACGACGTGGTCCTTGCGCAGCTGGAACGCCGGCTGGAAGGTGGGGAACGGATACACCACCTGGAACTTGGTGTGCAGCAGGAAACCGTGGCGCAGGCAGGCGGGGGGGGCCTCACCTGGGGGCGTGGGGGGGGCAGGGGGGACACCCCGGACTGGGGTCCCCCCCTGGGATACCCCCCCAGAAAAGCCCCGACAGAAAAGCCGCGACTCGCTCTCAGTGTGGGAGCTGCCAGCGCGGAGCTCACGGGGCTCACGGGGCAGGGGGCTCACGGGGCAGGGGGCTCACGGGGCTCAGGAGTCTCTGGGGGCTCAGGAGTCTCAGAGGGCTCAGGGGTCTCCAGGGTCTCAGGGGGCTCAAGAGTCTCATGGGGTTCAGGGATCTCAGAGGGCTCAGGGGTCTCAGAGATCTCAGAGGGCTCAGGGGTCTCAGGGGTTTCAGGGGTCTCAGGGGTCTCACGGGGCTCAGGGGTCTCAGAGATCTCAGGGGTCTCCAGGGTCTCGGAGATCTCAGGGGGCTCAGGGGTCTCAGAGATCTCAGAGGGCTCAGGGGTCTCAGGGGGTTCAGGGGTCTCATGGGGCTCAGAGATCTCAGGGGTCTCCAGGGTCTCAGGGGTCTCAGAGGGCTCAGGGGTCTCAGAGATCTCAGGGGTCTCAGGGGTCTCATGGGGCTCAGAGATCTCAGGGGTCTCAGGGGTCTCAGGGGTCTCAGGGGGCTCCGGGGGCTCACCGGGGGGAGCGGTGGCCCGGCGGCAGGCGGGGCAGTGCCGCGGCGGGGGCACGGCCACGGCGCTCACGTAGATGTCCCGGTGGTTCTCGTCACTCATGAGCATCATGTTCACCTGCAGCCCCGGCGCCGAGCGCGTGCTGCGGCCGCCGGGAGGGGACAGCGGCGTCACCGGGGCTCCAGCGGGGACACCGCGGGGCTCGCGGGGTGCCACCCACTTGAAACCGAAGACGATGACCTTGTCGCTGTCCCCCGGCCACTCGCACACCGTCAGGTAAAGGTCACTGTAAATCTCCTCGTCCTGGAACAGCCGCACCTGGCGCACCTGGGGGGGACCCTGAGTGGGCAGGGAGTCCCCGGGGCAGTGCTGGGTGTCCCTGGGTGCCCCAGGGTGTCCCTGGGGGTCCCAGGGTGTCCCTGGGTGCCCCAGGCTGTCCCAGGCTGTCCCCAGGTGCCCCAGGCTGTCCCAGGGTGTCCCCAGATGTCCCAGGGTGTCCCTGGGTGTCCCAGGGTGTCCCTGGGGTTCCCTGGGGGTCCCAGGCTGTCCCCAGGTGCCCCAGGCTGTCCCAGGGTGTCCCCAGATGTCCCAGGGTGTCCCTGGGTGTCCCAGGCTGTCCCTGGGGTTCCCTGGGGGTCCCCGGATGTCACAGGCTGTCCCAGGCTGTCCCAGGCGGTCCCTGGCTGTCCCTGGCTGTCCCAGGCTGTCCCTGGCTGTCCCTGGCTGTCCCTGGCTGTCCCAGGCTGTCCCAGGCGGTCCCTGGGGGTCCCATGGTGTCCCTACCAGGCGCAGTTTGCTGTGCACGTTGAACTCCCACCAGTAGAGGTGGTACAGGTAGAAGGAGAAGTCGTCGTCCCCAGAGCTGCTGGTGTAGGACAGCACGTAGCGGCCACACTTGGAGAAGCCCAGGAAGATGTGGCTGGGGGGACACGAGGGGACACGGCGGCACATGGGGGGACATGGGGACACCGAGACGGGGCCAGGGAGACGAGGAGGGGACACGCAGAACGTGGGGACAGCGGACGTGGCAGGTGGGGACACGGGAACGGGGGGAAGGCACGTAACGGGGGTCCCCCCGCACAGCTGGGGTCCCCAGCAGAGTTGGGGTCCCCCAGTGTCTCCCCAGGGCTGGGGTCCCCCCCTCACCCCGCCCATAGAAATTCCTCGTCCACGATGCTCTTGAGAGTGACGCAGACGCGCGGCGGAAGCTTCCGGAACAGCCGGGGGGAGAGCTGCCCGCTGAGCTGGGGGGCACGGGGGGGTCAGGGACCCCCCAACACTCCCCACAGGTGGGGGGAGAGTTGAGCTGGGGGGGCACGGGAGGGTCAGGGACCCCTCTAACCCTCCCCACAGACCCTCACAGCCGGGAGGAGCTGCCCACCGAGCTGGGGCAGCACAGGGGGGACGGGGACCCCCGAACCCCCAACATCGCCCAACACCCCCCAAAAGCCAGGGCACAGCTGAGCTGGGGGGCACTGGCGGGTCAGAGACCCCCGATCACCCCCCAGAGCCGGGGGGAGCTGCCCCCAGAGCTGGGGGCGTACCGGGGGGTCCCACACGGCTCCCCGCAGCCCCTCAGCCCGTGACCTCCAGCCCCTCAGAGAACACCCCCAGATCGGGGTTCCCCCCGCGCCCCCAACCCCTCAGCCCCCCACACGGGACCCCCCAGCTCAGGGCACCCTCAGGGACCCCCACCCTGCCGGCATCCCCCCGTCAGAGTCCCCCCTTCCTCCCGCAGGGCCCCCGCCATGTCCCAGGCCAGTGTCCCTTCAGCGCCCCCCTCCCTCCCTCAGGGTCCCCTCACAGAGACCCCCCCCTCCCGTCCCACCTCAGGGCCCCCTCACAACCCCTCCCTCAGTCCCCCACCGTCCCCTCAGCACCCGCCGCTCACCCGGACGCGGTCCAGCTGCCTCACGAGGTGCTCGCGGCGGCCTCGGGGAGCGGCCCCGGGCCCAGCGCCCCCCGCCGCCCCCCGTTTCCCCCCGGGGCCGCCCCGCTCCGCTTTCGAGCTCGGCGCCATTTTCCCGGACCGGCCGCTTCCGGCGCGCCGCACGCCGCCGCCGCCCCGCCCACACCGCGTTCCCAGTGGCCGCTGACGCACCTCCCGCGCATCTCATTGGCTAGCTCACCCGTCAATCCCCAGCGCGCCCCGCCTCCACGCGGAGAAACGACCAATGGGAACCCGACAGCCACAACGTGATTGGTTGCTGCCCGCGCCCGTCCGTTCTGGCGGGGTTGCCATGGAGACGAGGCAGCGGCGGGGGCGGTCCCGGAGTGGGCGGGGCCATGCGGGGGTGGGCGGGGCTATTGCCGTGATTGACAAGTCGGGGACGCGGCGCGTCGGGAGTCACCAAAATCCGCGTTTTTCTTCTTAAAAACTTTTATCATTTGTGAGAGCGCCCGGAACAGCCCCTCCCCTACAGGCACTTGGGGGGGATCCGCTTTGGTGGGGGGGACACGGGGGATGGGGAAAAAGTGCTTGGGGGGACACGCGGACCCGGGTGGGGAACAGTCGGTGTCACCCTCGTATTTGGGTGGGGGGTCAGTGTCACCCTGTCACTGGGGCAGTGTCACCCTGTCACCGGGGCAGTGTCACCCTGTCACTGGGGGGGTTCAGTGTCACCCTGTCACCGGGGCAGTGTCACCCTGTCACTGGGGCAGTGTCACCCTGTCACTGGGGGGGGGGGGGCCGGTGCCCGCCG